CGATTTATCGAAGTTGGACTCATAACTAAAATAAATAAACATTTCTTATTTACTGGAAATTATGAAAACCGAATTCTACTCCTTCGGCCCAACCCGCTGGCTCGGCCCGCGACTGTGCGACGCGCACACTAGAGCAGCGCGGCCCAGCCGACCAACGGCCCGCGACGGAGGAAGGCCTGCGCGCGCTGACAGTTTCGCGGAAACGCCCCTGAACTACTGGACATTTACCGCGAGCACTAAGACACTATTTACCCAGTCTACGATTTTACGATTACGTCCTCCCCTTCCTCCTTTACCACGGCGGTGTCCCGCAGCACCAGTGCGCGCACCAGCGCGACGACACGGGCACTGAGCTACCATGCCGGCGACACCCAAGTCCCCAAGACCTAACTAAGGGGCCGATGAGTACCTCCTAGGCAGCACACGGTGTCTAGAAGTGATTCGGCGAGCAGGGGCGTCGTCCCGGATTCCCTCCCCGGCGGTGAGCCCGGACCTGCAATGGCGGAAGTGTTCCCGTAAGCCACAGCGACAAGGAAGCAAACCAAACAGCTAACGAGCTCGAGTAACCACCCACGAAGACCCTTGCAGTGATGGTCTGGCCGGAGGAAACCCAAGTAGTGTTGGTCGCGTGCGCACCGACGAGGTGACAGCGCCCGGCGATGGCACGACCACGGCGGTGGTGGTTGTCCTGCTGCGAAGCTATGGCTGGGGTGCGCGGGTGCTCAAGAGGGTACGGCTAAGCTGAGGGTGCACTGAATTGCTACGAGATGCTCGGAGTGGCTGGCTTGCCGTCAGGGAGCGTCCGTGCGGTCTTATGGACCCGGTGGTGCGGTATTTCGAAATTGCGGCCCTGTGCAACGGCATACACAACAAGGTGGGGACGGGGCGTGACCAGATACCTAGCGAAGCCGAGCGTAAGCCGAATTGGAGTCTAATGCTATGGTCACGGCGAATTGGGAAGAGTCGTCTCGGCGGCCATGGAGACAGCGGGGCAGGGGAGGTCCTGGTGTGGCTTGGCTCGGTCTGGCTGTGGCGTCAACGCAACGAGCCAACACATTCCTACGAGTAACAGCGGGACAGGCGGGACGTGCCCCAGACGGCTGTCTGCACGGCCACTGTGGCAAAGCGACGAGCGCGGTATGGCGCCATCGTGGCGGGCAGCGCCAGACAATGACGTAGAGCGATGCGACGTGGAGGGGATGGCGAACGTCCTTCGAGCATGCAGCCAAGGGAAGTCAGCGGTCAGTACCGCGCGTGGCCACTGGCGACGTGAACGCGGGACCCGGTGCGCCTATGGCCAAAACAGGGCAGGACAAGGCGCGACAGAGCTTGGTCTACGGCCTGGGCGCAGCGCACCAGCCGGTGAGGTGACCCGCATGCCACGAGGAGCAGCAGGCAGCCAAGGCAACAGCAGCCAGAGCCTACGCGTGGTGCGTTCACGGGGATCGAGCGGATGCGGCTAGCGCATGGTCGCGCGCTGGCGAACCTACAACAGCGCCAAGCCACGCAGCGGCGGTGGCCGCGGTTAGTGTGCTGTGGTGAACGAGCAGCAGCGGAGCAGACGGCCTTGGCGCGCAGTACCAGAGCCGCACGCGTGCGCAGGCCCGGCGGTGGGACGCAGCCGGCGCGGCAGTGGGCGTGGCCTGCGCGATAGGGGGCGCTTGCAAGCCAGCAGCAGTGGTGACCGCGCCTCGGACCAAGCCACATGCCGTGCACGCTTTCTAAAGCAGTCAGAAACTCGTACTCAAAGCTCCGAATGCCAAACTAATTGCTCGATGCGCAAGAGGGTACATCAAGCTATCCATCACCGTCAAGACATCGCGCTACTGCTTAAGCCAATCGCTCCACAGGGCTTGCCAAAAGTGACACCGTCGACCCCTTCTAAGACTTACGCGAACGACTTTGTTACGAACGATTTCGCGTCGAAAAACCAAATCCGATCCACGGGGTGTACTAGCTAGTTACATTGTCCTCGACCGCACATGCTTTATCGCCATTCACAAAACGTTCTCTAGCCTTTTTGTTTTGACAAGAATTCGATTAGGATAATAAACAACACTATGTGACACGAAACATAACCTTCGCGTTCTCGTTTCATATAACTGTTTCAGGGACCGAACTTTGATTTATAATTTATGTTATACACACATGCACATAATTACGATGCTCATGAAATGTTTTAGCAAAACATTACAATGTAACACCGGGGTGTTACACGACGAGCGCACGGATCTAGTGTGGGCGCGTGCGCAGAGGAAGTTGAGGGCGAGCTCAAGATGGAAGTTGAGGGTGCAAGGATCTACCCTTCTCTTCACCAGCTTTGGGGCGGAAGAGTCCAATTATGGTGCTGCGGCGGCGGTGGTCTTGGAGCGGAAGAGCTAGGGCACACCGGTGGCGGGAGCGACGACATTGGGGACGGTTTCAGGGTGGAAGGGCAAGGTAAAGGCAGGTGCGTTGTCAGCGGCGAGGTCCAACACATCCAATCCGGACACCCATGGGGTTACTGCACATAGCAAGGGTTCATCGGGGAGCAACATGACATGTACGCGAACTTACAGACTGGAGGCTTACTGCGGGTTGAATATGCCCTAAAGCATTGGTTTGTGCGCTCAGCTAGCTGTTGGCCGGAGCGACAAGCTCCCATTTCTCTCCTCTCCTCCTCATCCGCTACGCTAATATGTTAGGTGAATCACCGACTTCGTGACACAGTTAACAAGACTGTTAGCTACATCAGTTTTTGTGTTAGTAAGTGCGACAACGTGATTCGTTCAAATGAAACTCTCTCCATCCCTCTTTTCATAATTAATCTATTAAGTCTTTAAATTTGCTGACATGTCACACTATTAAATACAAATGAAACTTAGATGAAATCTCACTAATGAGGACACTTCGTGACACAGTTAACAAAACTGCTAGCTACATCAGCTTTTGTGTTAGTAAGTGTGACAACGTGATTCATTCAGATGAAACTCTGTGAAACTCTCTCCAGATGAAATCTCACTAATGAGGACACTTCGAATGCTTGAAACCACTTATAGTTTTTATGTTTATTAATTTATATATAAACACTACGTATAGAAACTATGTTCCCAATGAATAGTTTCTATAAAATAATTTTTTGTCCAATCATATGTCTTCTCTCTCTCATCTACCTATCACATCTCTTTATATCTTAATTCATGTGTAGACATGGTATCTTATTAAGAGCATTTCAATAGTTTTTTATTAATCTCACTCTCTAAATCATTAGGAGAGCTATTTATATAAAAAATTATTTTCTATATCTTTTTATTTTTATAATAGTTTTTTATATCTTGTGTGTACTCTATAGAGCTATTCTTGTATTATATTTTTGGCTGGTGTGAAATGCGGAATAGAAGATGACTATATTTAGATTAACAGTTAGGAAGGATTTACATAGTCTCTTGAAATTGCTCTAAGAAATCATTTTCTACTATCTCATTAAATCGCTTGCCATGTCAGTAAAATGTTTAGGTGTCAGTGTAACTAATGCACATAAAACTAAGATAATCCGTACTATAGTTTTGCACTGTGAGTGTCGTGAGCATCTATGTTTGCTCCAAATCAAATCGGACGTCACCTGTGCGCAAGTTAATTTGCCTGGGGCCGAGCAAAAATACCTATAATCCTAGGGATTGGTAGCATGGAAACTCGAAATTCATATTTCCTATATGGTACTGTATTTTAATGTGGTCCAAGTAAAGCTTGGGGACCATTTGAAATTGGACTGTCCCTAATTCTTCATGCTCCCTTCATTTTGGAAAGGAAAAACATTTGGTCAAAAGAGAATTTCTGTCATTTTGGAAAGAAAACAAAAATATTTTTCTTTGGCTCGTTTGCAGGGAAGCTTTTTTTTTTTTGTGATTCCTTTGCAGGGAAGCTTGAGACTAGTAACGGTTAACGCGGACCTGGGCCTAGGGAGCTAGGAATCTCAAGTCCCAACTGAGTTATTAGAGCATCTCCAAAAGTATTCTATTTTTTATTCCTCAAAATATGATATTTTTTAATTTTCAAAAAGATATTAAGAGAAAAAAAGAATACCATCTCCAATAGTTTTCAATAAAGGAGTTCCAAAAAAGTTAAATTTTGGTCAATCAATACTTTTTTTGCGGCATCGTTTTTTTCGCGGGACAACGCAGCGTCGCGCCAAACCTTGGCCGCCGCCGCTCCCTGTCCGCAGCCGCCACCTCGTAGCTGGCCGCCGCGGACATTCAAGGGAAACCGGAACAACAAAGCTGGCTGCGAAGGCCTCCATCGCCGCCTCGTCGAGCGCCACCGACACTTGTACGCCGCCATCCTTGGCACCAAGCAGCGTCACCATCTGCCTCACGAACAGGGACACCAGCTCGACGCGGGTCAGCCCGCCCCACCCAAAGTCTGTCTCGTACGCCATGAACCGGTGCGACGATCCCACGGCCACTAACCTCTCCTGCGGGACGGCACGATAGGCCGCTATCCAGCTCTCGGCGTCTGACAGCCGGTCACCCCCGAGCTCCTCCAGGTGTGCGCGGATCGCGCCCTGGATGGCCGCGGCGGCACGCATGACGCCGCGCTTGCCATGCCGCAGGTCGCCCACGCTGGTCCGCACGAAGCACGGCTTGACGCAAGTCCCGAAGAAGGCGTCCCCGAGCGGCGGGGCAGGTGGTTGCCAAGGAGATGCCAGAGAGGGGAAACCGGGAAACTCCAGATACGCACTCCTAGGCCGCGCGCTTTTTTGCGCGCAAGTGACGGTGGTTTTGCAATTCTCAACAGATGGGGAAAGGATATGTGATATTTTTGGAGATGAGTTTTTCTTATTTTTCCTATATAAATAGGGAAGAAATATGGGGTACTCTTAAAAATGCTGGAGACCAAAAGACTCGCATCTCAGATTCTCAGTGATCTCACCCTATAAACTCGTCATTTCCCAGGAAGAAGACGGAAAGTCATCACCGTCGGCTCGCCAAGACCGCTTCGGTCTTCGGAGCCTACGACGGGCTATGGCAATGGCGGGAGCCGATCACCCATGCAGCATCTGCATGGAGCCCATGGCGTCCTCCGAGGTCCACCGCGGCGGCGGCGCCTGCGTGCACGCGTTCTGCCGCGCGTGCCTGTCCGGCCACATCCGCGCCAAGGTCGAGACCACCGGCGGCGCCGTGGTGCGGTGCCCCGACCCGTCGTGCGCCGGGGCGCTAGACCCGGAGCTCTGCCGCGTGGCTCTCCCTTCCGACGTGTTCGAGCGGTGGTGCGCCAAGCTCTGCGAATCCATGTTCCTCGGCGCGCGGCGCACCTACTGCCCGTTCCCGGACTGCTCCGAGATGATGGTGGCGGACGAGGACGGCGGCGGCGGCGGCGCCGAGGGGAGCGTGACCCAGTCCGAGTGCCAGGTGTGCAGACGGCTGTTCTGCGCGCGGTGCGGCGTGGCGCCGTGGCACGTCGGCGTGACCTGCGACGAGTACCAGCGGCTCGCCAGGGTCAGGGAGGACACGAAGCTGTACGAGATGGCCGAGGCGATGAAGTGGAAGCGGTGCCCCAAGTGCCAGTTCTTCGTGGAGAAAGTCGATGGCTGCCAACACATTAGATGCAGGTAACACGAGCAACGTAGTAATGATAGAGGATCAAGAGTATGCTTCTTCTTCTTCTGGATATATATACATATATCGATGTTCATATGTCAAATCCTACGTAATTTATATAAAAAGGCATAAATGTAATTCTCACATGACATTGAAGTTTTCTCCAATATCACCCACATGATATGGACATTTGGGTATATGAAACTTTGCAGTGCCCTCAAATTCTCTCGTACAGTATATTTGACGGTTTAATTTCTCCTCTATAGTTTTTTTTTTTGATCTCAGGTTTCTCCTCCATAGTTTGGTGTTAATGGTTATGAGATCTTGTAGGTGTGGCTTCGAGTTTTGCTACGGATGTGGGACATCGTGGAGGTCAACTCATTCTAATAATTGCCGAGGATGAGACGGTGTTAAGGAAGCTACATGCATGCATCATGCTAGAAATATTTGTTGCAGTAATAGCAATCATCTGTTCGTCTTTTGTTACATCGTCGTTTAAGTGACAGGATCTCATAACGATTTAAACAGTCTGTGTGAATCCGGATGGTAGTTCAGTGAACATCGTTTCTGCAGTTTGGGAGATGAAAGATGACTGGGTCTTGTGTCACAGCTTTGAGAAATTAATGAAAATGAATGTCAAGCAAACTTGAACTTTTATTTAGCTAGGCTAGTCCTAGTGGAGATTTTAGTCTAATTATAAAAGGAGTTTCGTAGGAAGAAAGGAAAAAAATGGTTCAATCCATAACGATAAAAAGAACCTTGTTTTCGGGAAATACCACCGAAGGAATGAACCGTTAGTTAGAAGAGGCTCTAGTTACAACTAGCATTCTATTCTGATTTCAAGCCTACATTATGAATCCACCGTTTGGCTCCCCGGCCGGTTCACCTTCCTATGGTGGACAAGTCCCTCCTCTTCTTATTGAGCTCCAATGTAAGCAGAATCTAGGATCGGCGGAGCCCTAGGTGGTACCACTGCGAGCCCAAGGTGGGGTTGGATCCAGATGAGTTGTCGGTGGCGGCGACGAAGCACAGGTCGTGCGACTGCCCTGTGAGCGCGGCTAGGGGTAAAATGGAGACACAGGGCCGGTGCTGCCAGGGTTGCTACACTGGTCCTTGAGCACAAAATGTTCAATGATATGTTATTTTGGTATCTCAATGCAACTATATTTTATACATAGAATCAAATCTTTGGTAATCATCATATATGAGGTTACCAGTGTAGTTATCACTCCTCTTGGGTCTTGGCTAAGTTCTAGCTCTGCCCCTTAAAGGGCAAGCTAGGAGTGTACTCCCTCCTGTCCCAAAATATAAATCGTTATATGATATGTGTAGGTCAAATTTTTTCAATTTTAACTATATTTACAGAAAATACGTGCAACATTTATATTTCCAAATAAATTTATTATGAAAATATATTAACAATCTATCTAATGATAATAATTATGCATTATAAATATTAATATTTTTATGTATATATTTAGTTAAAATTAAAAGGGTTTGGTTTCTCGAAAAACGAGAATGTCATCAATTTTGAGACAGAGAATGTCGTCTATTTTGAGACGGAGGAAGTATAGCTGCGGCCTGACTTTCTCGTGCCACATGCGCCTTGATGCTAGATCTCACCACGCTGCGTGCTCGTTCACTTTATGCTCGCGCCGGCCGCCCTCTCCGCCAGCCACATCCACATGGGCTAGTCGCACGAATTGCACGCCCTCACGCGACGCAAACTTTCGTGCTCGTGCTCGTGCTCGCGCGCTCACCGTCCGGCAGCGCACGAGAGGCGAGAGGTCGTAGCCAGAGCCACGCCTCATGGGATAATTGGCTCGCTTAATTAAGGAGTTTGTATATATATATATATATATATATATATATATATATATATATATATATATATATATATATATATATATATATATATATATATATGTTCAGAGTTGGCCGCATGAGAATAAGTTATTCGCATGGCCACTTTGAGTTACGATAATTACTATACTAATTTACGAGATTATGATAACTCCCTCATAAGTGATATATATATATATATATACACACACGTGTGTGTGTGGAGAGGCATTGGGTAAATAAAGGAAAGATGCACGGTCGAGCTGTTGTTTAAAGGCTACAATAACAAAGTTTGTGGAATAAATTTTGAATCCTAGAGTAATAGTAAGTTCTTTTTTTTTACGGAGGTAGTATTATGATTTGATTCAACGTCAACATGATACCTGTTCTCGTAACTAACCATATTGCCCGCGTTTCAGTTTTGCTGGAAGTTAATTAAAAGGCCAGAGGGACCGAGTTTAAAAAATACGATAGGAATCGGATGCTTTATAGAATCTTGTTTGAAGGTCACCAAGCAAGGAGTCATGTTACTCTCTCCATCTTAAAATAATACAAGATATTGAAGGTTCAAAATTTGTCCCAAGTTATAAGGTATTCTGAATTACTCAACAATATTTGATATCTATGTGTGCTTGCCTTTTATTCAAGGGAGTATGTTTTTTTAACAAGAAAATTAGTTATTTAAGTCAATTATTTCTATTTCTATTTAATAAAAGCCCAAACTATGATGAACTAAACACTGAATTCTTTCTTTAGTTATACACAATATAGGTAGGCTCTATGCTAATTTAGGCTACTCCCAGTTTGGTGTTATCAAAATTGTCAGAGTATTTCTCATTATTATTGGATATAGAGAAAAGAAATTGAGCGAGGATTAGATAGGAATCTGCTGGAGCTATTTTTTCTATGCAATCTCATTGTCGTGATTATAGGAAAAGGAGATTTCAGTTTTTCAATATGCGCTAGTCATTTTTCTAAGATCTATTTGGGTACCATGTGTCCATGACTAATTGTTTAGTCATCTGGGGCTTGTTTGGAACGAAGGAATCTAAAACGCAGGAATAAAAAAAACGCAGAAATAAGGTATGATGAAAAGTAAAAAACTACGAGATTTCAAAACACAGGAACATAAAATTTAGTCTGTTTGGAACACATGAATTTATAACATAGGAATTGTAACATGTTAGACAAATATGGGTCATAATTACTTTTAACTGCCGCAAGTTGCCTCCGTTGTTGCCGCAAGTTGCCTCGGGCTTCCGCGAAGGAAGAGAAAACAAAGGGTCAGAGTGGATTCTTTCTTTCCTGTGAAATCAGCGTCGAGCTACAGTATTCCAAAGGAAATGGGCCATTGTTTCCTCCGTTCCGAACGATCTTGTTCCATTCCTTTCCTCTGTTTCTGTTTCCTTCACTTTTCATGTGAAAATCCTTTGAACCAAACGGGTCCCTAAAGTTTGGTCATACAGACTATCAAATAGGTGGACTAATAAATGAAGTAATTTTTAGTTCACATTTCAACTAATAACTATTTCCTTTCAAAAAAACAAATAACTATTCAATTAGTTTGAATAAAAGAAAGCTAAAGTGGACTGAGAGCTAGTATGTAATCCGTCGGCTCAGTACTTCGGAGGTGCTCATAGGGGTAGGGTTTGCGTACGTATATTCATAGGGGTGAGTATGCATGCGAGTTGTGAGCGTCTGCGTTGTACTGTGTAATTCTAAAAAAACATTATATGACTTGTCAGATATCTATACCCGGGTATCCAGGCCAAAGGATTAAAGAGCGTCACGTCGCCTCATCCGATCGTTAAAGACGCAACTACGGCCTCGTCCGTCTCCGAGGGCGAAGTTCCCGCCTCGTCCGACCCCAGGGGCCGGGCCACGCCTCGTCCGACGCCGAGGACGAGGTTTCCGCCTCGTCCGACCCCCAGGGGCCGGGCCTCGCCTCATTCGACGACGAGGATGAGGTTTCCGCGTCGTCCGACCCCCAGGGGCCGGGACACGGCTCGTTCGGTCCCACGGGGAGGGCCCCGCCTCGTCCGACCCCCGTGGGTCGGATTTCGTCTCGCCCGGCTCCCAGGGAGAGATTTCCGCCTCGCCTGATCCTTGGGGATCGGATCTGCTACCAGACCAAAGTAGTGGTCCCAGGGTAGGGCTCGAACCGCTTCAACCACTACAGCATGGAAGCGTAGATCCGGGAGCATGTCTCGGACGTGTCCTGATGTGACTGCCAGTCGTATCGGGCCATGCTAGGAAACTCACGTCGCCCATCGCGTCAACAGGCCAACACTGTGCTGCCAACTCCCTACCTGACCACCGTCCAACGTTAGTCAATCGACGTCCGCTGACTGGCACTGTACCGCTAGCCCCCCCGCATGGCTTTTGTCAGAGGACCCTCTGACCATTTCGTTCGCTCGGATGGAACGAAAGACAAGAATGGCGCATGTCGCCCGCACGTAAGCTGTAGCGGCCAACAAGACCTTGGTACAACGTCGCTACCACCATGATGTACAGAGTCAGCGGGACCCACGCAAAGAGGAGAATGGCGCACCTTCGGGAGCCTTATTTCTCTTTCCTTTTATCCTCTTCCTTCTACTATAACCCCTGCTTTCTCTTGGCCTATAAAAGGGAAAGCAGGGCGTCCCACTAAAGGGACGGTGATTCATCGAACAAACATACCGCATCACACCCGAGACTTGGGAGCTACCTCCCTCTCTCACCAGTTTGTAACCCCCTACTGCAAACTCAGTGCTAGTAACACGAGCAGCTCAAAACTGGACGTAGGGACATTCGGCCTGAATCAGAATAATCTTTGTGTCATCTTAGCACACCATCCGGGTCAGACGTGCAATATACAAATTTACAAGCTGGTGCTTACTCGAAACACCGACAGTTGACATGCCAGGTAGGGACCTTTTGCGCGTTTCGACATAAACACCAGGCCTCGCATGGCTAGTCACGACATTAGCTGGGTCCCGGGCACTCACGTGCGCTTCGAGGACCTGGACTTCATCGTCATGGCGGAGGGAGAGTTGGCGTGAGCGCCCGTCGTCGCCCAACCCCTCCACTCCGCCAGCCTCGACACGATCGTCGAGGCGCTCGAGGAGCTATGGCTACATGCGTCGGAGGCGCGCCCCCCCAAGAGCGGCCAGCTCCTCGACTTCGACTACGGA